ATGAAGAAGATTACATCAGGGGAAATGAGATTTATTCAGTTGACATGTAAGAAAACCTAAAGTTGATGTGAATAGTCCTACAGCTGGAAACACATGGAAGTGAATCATATCTTGAATTTCTTTGTTTACGAAAATATAAAGCTGTTAAACTCACGCTCAATAAAGCCTTTCACAACACAACTACACGCACGGACACTAGTCAGTCAGTGAAAGCATTGCTAATTACACATTTAATGTGAGACCAGCAGGGTCTACTAGATGTCTTTATAGGTTATCAATGAACTTATTAGGACTGGTTATTAGTAAGGGTGGTCGGTACATTACGGTCTTAATGACTTACTGGAATATTCTAGTCTTAATCACTTGCTAAAATATCCCAGTCTTTGAGACTAACTGGAGCATTCTAGTCTTAATGACTAACTGTAATATTCCAGTATTAATCACTAGCTAGATCATATCTTAGAGACTAACTGGAGCATTCTAATCTTAATGACTAACTGTAATATTTTAGTCTTAATCACTAGCTAGAACATATATTAGAGACTAACTGGAGCATTCACATCTAAATAACTTACAGTGTTTTGGAATAGTTCTGTCTTGATGATTAACTGATGAATTCCTGACTTGATGACTAGCTGCAATATTCCTGTCTGTTTATGAGTAATATCTTGATGAGTAAATAATGTCTTGGCGGCTTGAAGACGAACTGGAGTTGTATCAACTTACTGATGTTTTTATGATATTCCTGAAATACTACTTGACACATTTCATCTTAAAAATCTCACTTGCTCCTTGTTTTTACGTAATTAGCACTGCATGAAAGAAAAAAGTTTTTTAAGTTTTCAATTTTGACATGTTTGCCACCACACTTTTCTGTAGTATAATAAAGTTAAAGTCTATCACTATATCGAATTGAGAATCTTCGACTATCACAATTTCTATTTGAACCAAATTTCAAACGAACTCTTTGCCGAGTTTTTCATGGGTAAAACTTAGACACAGGGGGGACTGATTTTTCATAACGGTGGTCACAATGTATTTGCATATGACAATCTCTGAGTTAAGTATGTATATATTTAGGGGAAAAAAAGTAAAGATGAAAACTTTGGTCTGATTGTTCTAATTGCTCACTATATAATCATCTTAAAACTAAATTTGGCTGAGGTCTTTTTCTTTTTTCTTTTTAAATCCTTTCAGTGGGAATTCCCGAACTCGACTCAATAGTTTCTTTGAATTTATTTAAGAGTTGAATCAATAAGGACAAGTCCATTAACATTTGCGCACCGTCTTATGTAAAAGTTCTAGTCCACTTGCCCGTGTACAGTCGTGAGCTGGACAATTAATAGAAGAGTTTGTGCAGAGCTCACTTCCTGCAGCAATGTAGCATTAGAAATACGTTGAAGGAGAAGAGGGGGACCAACAACAGTCATTTCTGACAGTAGGAATCAACCTGAACAAACAACATAATTGTCTTGTATATATAACTTGACAATTTTAGAGGTTCATATAATGCCTATCTAGAGATCTGACTCGATGTAAAAGCTTAAATAGAACTACAACTGGCTTCTTAATACAAACTAATACACTCAAACACACACACACTTGTATACTCGCGACGTAATCTCTCAGTTCTAGATCAGATCAAAAACAGACGTGTTTTAACTTTGCTGATTAGATATAATGCATAGATTCATGTCATCATGTTTTGACTCTCTAATGTCCACTTCTCTAACGTTGACTCTCTAATGTCCACTTCTCTAACGTTGACTCTCTAATGTCCACTTCTCTAACGTTGACTCTCTAATGTCCACTTCTCTAACGTTGACTCTCTAATGTCCACTTCTCTAGCCTTGACTCTCTAATGTCCACTTCTCTAACGTTGACTCTCTAATGTCCACTTCTCTAGCCTTGTTTCTCTAATGTCCACTTCTCTAACGTTGACTCTCTAATGTCCACTTCTCTAGCCTTGTTTCTCTAGTGTCCACTTCTCTAAGTTGACTCTCTAATGTCCACTTCTCTAGCCTTGACTCTCTAATGTCCACTTCTCCAACGTTGACTCTCTAATGTCCACTTCTCTAACGTTGACTCTCTAATGTCCACTTCTCTAACGTTGACTCTCTAATGTCCACTTCTCTAGCCTTGACTCTCTAATGTCCACTTCTCTAGCCTTGACTCTCTAATGTCCACTTCTCTAACGTTGACTCTCTAATGTACACTTCTCTAACGTTCACTCTCTAATGTCCACTTGTCTAACGTTGACTCTCTAATGTAAACTTCTCTAGCCTTGACTCTCTAATGTCCACTTCTCTAGCCTTGACTCTCTAATGTCCACTTCTCTAACGTTAACTCTCTAATGTCCACTTCTCTAGCCTTGACTCTCTAATGTCAGCTTATCTAACGTTGACTCTCTAATGTTCACTTCTCTAACATTGACTCTCTAATGTCCACTTCTCTAACGTTGACTCTCTAATGTCCACTTCTCTAACGTTGACTCTCTAATGTCCACTTCTCTAGCCTTGACTCTCTAATGTCCACTTCTCTAACGTTGACTCTCTAATGTCCACTTCTCTAGCTTTGACTCTCTAATGTCCACTTCTCTAGCCTTGACTCTCTAATGTCCACTTCTCTAATGTTGACTCTATAATGTCCACTTCTCTAACGTTGACTCTCTAATGTCCACTTCTCTAGCCTTGACTCTCTAATGTCCGCTTCTCTAACGTTGACTCTCTAATAACCACTTCTCTAACGTTGACTTTCTAATGTCCACTTCTCTAAAGTTGACTCTCTAATGTCCACTTCTCTAAAGTTGACTCTCTAATGTCCACTTCTCTAACGTTGACTCTCTAATGTCCACTTCTTTAGCCTTGACTCTCTAAGTTCCATTTCTCTAACGTTGACTCTCTAATGTCCACTTCTCTAGCCTTGACTCTCTAATGTCCACTTCTCTAGCCTTGACTCTCTAATGTCCACTTCTCTAACGTTGACTCTCTAATGTCCACTTCTCTAGCCTTGACTCTCTAATGTCAGCTTCTCTAACGTTGACTCTCTAATGTTCACTTCTCTAACGTTGACTCTCTAATGTCCACTTCTCTAATGTTGACTCTCTAATATTCACTTCTCTAACGTTGACTCTCTAAGGTCCACTTCTCTAGCCTTGAGTCTCTAATGTCCACTTCTCTAACGTTGACTCTCTAATGTCCACTTCTCTAGCCTTGACTCTCTAATGTCCACTTCTCTAACGTTGACTCTCTAATGTCCACTTCTCTAACGTTGACTTCTAATGTCCACTTCTCTAACGTTGACTCTCTAATGTCCACTTCTCTAACGTTGACTCTCTAATGTCCACTTCTCTAGCCTTGACTCTCTAATGTCTACTTCTCTAACGTTGACTCTCTAATGTCCACTTCTCTAACATTGACTCTCTAATGTCCACTTCTCTAACGTTGACTCTCTAATGTCCACTTCTCTAGCTTTGACTCTCTAATATCCACTTCACTAACGTTGACTCTCTAATGTCCATTTCTCTAGCCTTGACTCTCTAATGGCCACTTCTTTAACGTTGACTCTCTAATGTCCACTTCTCTAACGTTAACTCTCTAATGTCCACTTCTCTAGCCTTGACTCTCTATGGTCCACTTCTCTAACGTTGACTCTCTAATGTCCACTTCTCTAACGTTGACTCTCTAATGTCCACTTCTCTAACGTTGACTCTCTAATGTCCACTTCTCTAGCTTTGACTCTCTAATATCCACTTCACTAACGTTGACTCTCTAATGTCTATTTCTCTAGCCTTGACTCTCTAATGTCCACTTCTCTAGCTTTGACTCTCTAATATCCACTTCACTAACGTTGACTCTCTAATGTCCACTTTTCTAACGTTGACTCTCTAATGTCCACTTCTCTAACTAAAACTTTCTAATGTCCACTTCTCTAACGTTGACTCTCTAATGTCCACTTCTCTAACGTTGACTTCTAATGTCCACTTCTCTAACGTTGACTCTCTAATGTCCACTTCTCTAACGTTGACTCTCTAATGTCCACTTCTCTAGCCTTGACTCTCTAATGTCTACTTCTCTAACGTTGACTCTCTAATGTCCACTTCTCTAACATTGACTCTCTAATGTCCACTTCTCTAACGTTGACTCTCTAATGTCCACTTCTCTAGCTTTGACTCTCTAATATCCACTTCACTAACGTTGACTCTCTAATGTCCATTTCTCTAGCCTTGACTCTCTAATGGCCACTTCTTTAACGTTGACTCTCTAATGTCCACTTCTCTAACGTTAACTCTCTAATGTCCACTTCTCTAGCCTTGACTCTCTATGGTCCACTTCTCTAACGTTGACTCTCTAATGTCCACTTCTCTAACGTTGACTCTCTAATGTCCACTTCTCTAACGTTGACTCTCTAATGTCCACTTCTCTAGCTTTGACTCTCTAATATCCACTTCACTAACGTTGACTCTCTAATGTCTATTTCTCTAGCCTTGACTCTCTAATGTCCACTTCTCTAGCTTTGACTCTCTAATATCCACTTCACTAACGTTGACTCTCTAATGTCCACTTTTCTAACGTTGACTCTCTAATGTCCACTTCTCTAACTAAAACTTTCTAATGTCCACTTCTCTAGTCTTGACTCTCTAATGTCCACTTCTCTAACGTTGACTCTCTAATGTCCACTTCTCTAGCCTTGACTCTCTAATGTTCACTTCTCTAACAGTAACTCTCTAATGTCCACTTCTCTAGCCTTGACTCTCTAATGTTCACTTCTCTAGCCTTGACTCTCTAATGTCCACTTCTCTAACGTTAACTCTCTAATGTCCATATCTCTAGCCTTGACTCTCTAATGTCCACTTCTCTAACGTTGACTCTCTAATGTCCACTTCTCTAGCCTTGTTTCTCTAATGTCCACTTCTCTAACGTTGACTCTCTAATGTCAAGGCTAGAGAAGTGGACATTAGAGAGTCAACGTTAGAGAAGTGGACATTAGAAGTCAACGTTAGAGAAGTGGACATTAGAGAGTCAACGTTAGAGAAGTGGACATTAGAGAGTCAAGGCTAGAGAAGTGGACATTAGAGAGTCAACGTTAGAGAAGTGGACATTAGAGACTCAAGGCTAGAGAAGTGGACCTTGACTCTCTAATGTCCACTTCTCCAACGTTGACTCTCTAATGTCCACTTCTCTAACGTTGACTCTCTAATGTCCACTTCTCTAACGTTGACTCTCTAATGTCCACTTCTCTAGCCTTGACTCTCTAATGTCCACTTCTCTAACGTTGACTCTAATGTCCACTTCTTTAACCTTGACTCTCTAATGTCCACTTCTCTAACGTTGACTCTCTAATGTCCACTTCTCTAACGTTGACTCTAATGTCCACTTCTCTAAGGTTGACTATCTAATGTCCACGTCTCTTGCCTTGACTCTCTAATGTCCACTTCTCTAACGTTGACTCTCTAATGTCCACTTCTCTAACGTTGACTCTCTAATGTCCATTTCTCTAACGTTGACTCTCTAATGTCCACTTCTCTAGCCTTGACTCTTTATGGTCCACTTCTCTAGCCTTGACTCTCTAATGTCCAATTCTCTAACGTTAACTCTCTAATGTCCACTTCTCTAGCCTTGACTCTCTAATGTCAGCTTCTCTAACGTTAACTCTCTCTAATGTTCACTTCTCTAACGTTGACTCTCTAATGTCCACTTCTCTAATGTTGACTCTCTAATGTCCACTTCTCTAACGTTGACTCTCTAATGTCCACTTCTCTAAAGTTGACTCTCTAATGTCCACTTCTCTAACGTTGACTCTCTAATGTCCACTTCTCTAAGGTTGACTATCTAATGTCCACGTCTCTTGCCTTGACTCTCTAATGTCCACTTCTCTAACGTTGACTCTCTAATGTCCACTTCTCTAACGTTGACTCTCTAATGTCCATTTCTCTAACGTTGACTCTCTAATGTCCACTTCTCTAGCCTTGACTCTTTATGGTCCACTTCTCTAGCCTTGACTCTCTAATGTCCAATTCTCTAACGTTAACTCTCTAATGTCCACTTCTCTAGCCTTGACTCTCTAATGTCAGCTTCTCTAACGTTAACTCTCTCTAATGTTCACTTCTCTAACGTTGACTCTCTAATGTCCACTTCTCTAATGTTGACTCTCTAATGTCCACTTCTCTAACGTTGACTCTCTAATGTCCACTTCTCTAAAGTTGACTCTCTAATGTCCACTTCTCTAACGTTGACTCTCTAATGTCCACTTCTCTAGCCTTGACTCTCTAATGTCCACTTCTCTAACGTTGACTCTCTAATGTCCACTTCTCTAGCCTTGTTTCTCTAATGTCCACTTCTCTAACGTTGACTCTCTAATGTCCACTTCTCTAGCCTTGTTTCTCTAATGTCCACTTCTCTAAGTTGACTCTCTAATGTCCACTTCTCTAGCCTTGACTCTCTAATGTCCACTTCTCCAACGTTGACTCTCTAATGTCCACTTCTCTAACGTTGACTCTCTAATGTCCACTTCTCTAACGTTGACTCTCTAATGTCCACTTCTCTAACGTTCACTCTCTAATGTCCACTTGTCTAACGTTGACTCTCTAATGTCCACTTCTCTAGCCTTGACTCTCTAATGTCCACTTCTCTAACGTTGACTCTAATGTCCACTTCTTTAACCTTGACTCTCTAATGTCCACTTCTCGTTGGGGCACCACACAACCATCAGCCGTCTTGCTCCATGTAGTTTGTGGTTTGAAGTTGACAGTTTCTGATAGTATTTCTGAAAATATTGAAACCTGACATTCTATCTGCTGAGGGGACCACTTTGGGGACCGATTCTGAGTTTGAATTTCAACGATTCCTGGATTTTGGGAAAACATTTAATTAAGGTTTAATGACTAAAATTTACACACAAAAAAAATTAGTTAGATTTATTTCTTTAGCTAATAACTATATTGATAATTGCATTGTCAAAATGGACATTGTAATGAGAATCATGAAAGGCCTTGTTTTTATCTTTTAATCAGAATAAAATGTAACATTTGATAATAGCTCATTGACTCCAGATGTAATAATATTAGATCCAGATCTTTAAAATATTTCTATAGTAAGCTGGACGTTCCTATTCTATTTCTGACGATCACCTGAATAGCAGACAAAGTACCACAAGAGAAATCGTGATCTAAATATTGTCTCAGTTTTTGTTTTTTCAACTCATTTTAATAAAGCCTTGAAATTCGAAGCCAACGTTTTGTTAGAGCTAGGTTCATTTTATAGGCTAGAGCTCTATTTATTGTATGCCCAGAGACAGGTTTGTTTAAATAATGTGATGGGGAACAAAACACATTCGATACGTTGGATAAATAAGAATGTGCAAGACAATTTAATCCAAGATCTCTACGTCAGCTTCAATAATAGTCTAGTTCAAAGAATCAAGTTTGTTTTAAGGCAATAAATATTCTTCAGCAAGATTGGGACCGATGTTTGTTACTAGGAAATTTATTTATTTTTAAAGTCAATTTTTTAATTTGCAAAGTGATGTTCAATAGGGCTTTAGCTCCGATTTGTTCCATATAAACTCACTTTAAATACAGAGGGAGTGCTAAGTGCACGCCGGTCATCCTGGCAGTATCTTTTTAAAACTTGACAAAGGCCCTAATCTATTTGGGGATAATGGTGGCTCTTTATAAATGCATATATAATATGTTCAGTGCTGAGGCCCAAAGCTATAGCTTCTGTTGCCTATAAGTAAATCCTGCCCTGCCAGTAACTCAAACAAGCTTAACATTTTGATATAAAAAATGTCTGCAGATACATAAAGAATTATGTGTCACCTCACAGAAGACAAAGTTTGCGGAATTTATTTTTTTAAAGATGAGGCTAGGTCGTCTAGCTCTATTTTCTCATTTTAGCAGATTACAGTGTGTAAGATCAGAGATTCATGAGTACGACCTTTGAGAGGGTATAATTAAGAGCGGAACCTGGGCTTTAACTTGTATCCCCCCTTCCCCCACAAATGCCTTCTAAGAAGATGACTAGGCTCTTCATTTATATTGTTTTAGAGCCCCGAAAGGGAAAAAGACGCTATAAGTTTTGTGTGGAATGCCTGTACGTCCGTCCCATTAAGATCTTGTAAACTAGAAAAGATAGTGAAAATCCGACATCATTATATTCAAAGTTTCTTTTTTGAAAGCGAATTTTTTTTAAAAAATCACTTATGCAAGCAGTTTTTTTCATACAAGTAAACCACTTTTACAACTATTCACTATTATTATTATTATTATAGCTTTTATATAGCGCTACTTTCGCGCTTATAGCATGCTCAGAGCGCTTTGGTCACATCTCATTTGTGGACCGGTGGGGGGAGGGGGTATCTAGGAGTTGGTTTTCCGTGCTGCCTTTAGGCTCTGCCCGAGTCGGGCGTCGAACCTTGAGCCCCCTTCTAGGTAGCTAAGTTCAAGCGCACTTAGCCTCTCGACCACGCTTCCCACTATTAATAGTAACAGTAGGGGGACATCAACATTGTAAACACATTTATGCAAACGGTTTTAGATTTTTTTTCAAAAAATTATTTTTTTTTACATTTGTATTGCTAAGTTTAAGTAAGTTCTGTTATACTAACTACTACATTTACACAAAAAATGTTTACTTTTTTCTAAAGACAAACAATTTATGTAGTATACATAAAAGTTGGAAAAAACAACAATTAATAAGTAGTTTTTTTTTCATATTATTGCGTGCACTACAACGCTTCCGCATGATAAAGAAATCTCTTTTTTTTTTTTTTCTCACGGAAAGATTTTTTCTTGAGGAATAAGGAATTGACCCTTTACAAAACAATTAGATCAATTAGATATTCATTATAAGACATCAGTTAGGCTTGGTTCACATCTAATTTCACATTGACTTTCACCTATCCCTTGGTCTGCTGGACCGCTGGGGGCACCACACAAGATCTGTCAATATTCTTTCTCCATTCTTCTGCCATTTGTACTTTGATAGAATTTCATTCTGATGTTCTTTCTGAAAATATTGAAACCAGCCTTTTTATCTGCCTGGGTGGACCACTTCGGGGGCCGATTTATGAGTATGTGCTTTCACAAAAACTGTCTTTGTAACCTTGTTTTTTTTTCCAAAGTTGTTATTTTGATATTAGTAAAACAACTTTAAAAAAAAGTATTGTCGCTTTTCATGAAAAATGAATGTAAAAAATGTATGTAAAATAAAAACAGATAATAAAGTTTTTTTCTTACTTTTAGTATACTCGCCATTGTTACGCGCCGCTGGGAAAGACCCCCATTGCCATGCAACTCTGGGGGGGGGGGGGGTAATTAAAATCAATTAATTATTAAAATAATTTAGTTTTGGTGACATCAGGTCTAGGGTTTCTAACGTCACCATAGACCAGCGTGCAGATCGGAAACAGAACACACAGTTAGCATACATTAGAGAAGAGAATTCCTTTAGTTAACAAGATAAAATAGTTTAATGTAATTAAAGATAAAAGAGGAGGGTTTACAACGGTGAGGAGTATAATTATATATCTTAATGTAACATATCTATAAGTAAAGATAAATGAAAACATCATATTGATCCCTGACTGTAAAATGTGTAAATGCCCTGTTGTTTGTATGACTTAGTTCTTAGGTTCCTGGATTGGGAAGCTTATCCCTCTGCCTTGGTGCTGTAGACTGTTTTAGTCTGCCAGAATGAGCATCAGCTTGGGAGGTACCAACTCCAGATGTAATACTACAGTTTAATTGGCAATAGTCCGACCAATAGCGACAAAACATGGGCCTCAGCTCTTGAAGAAAAGCTTTCCACACGGAAAATGTTCAACTCCTCTACCACCAAAGCGAAAGCCACTTTGACATGCAATATACGTGGACGGGAGTGTCTCTCCAAAATAGGCTCCACAGCCATATGAAAAAATGCTCAATGTGAACAGTGAAGGAGGCCAATGATGATGATATATACTATGTATCTTGTTTTAAAACTGGCTTATGTGTGCATGTATAGAACAATGATACGTGTGTTTAATTTTTTAATTCTCATATGTCAAGTCTGAGAAAACATAAAAACATGTGTACGCGGACTAAAGAACTGTGTAATGTCTAGCACTACAAGTGACAAAAAGATAGCGCCATGAGCAACTTTTATAATAATAATATAAAATCGTTTACAGTGTAATACGGGCCTTACTGCTGTTCCAAGCGGCCCTGTTCGT